AGCAAAAATATATAATAAAAATCAATCATAGTGAATTAAAATGTATTTTTTTACAAAACAATTCTATTAATATATTATTCAAATAGTAAACCTCATACGTTAGTTAAATTAATTTCAACCCTGCCCTCCCTCTAACCGGTGTTGGTTATTAGTCTACTTAAACATGTATTGATTTCACGAGAATTACATCTGTTTTATGTTATAAATAGGGGGTTAGAGATAAACATCACTCACAGAGAGGGTTCTCCCAATACTTGAGGCAAAGTCCGGCCAAAAAGTAGCCCAATTGCGGGCCCAACAGTCGCACGGCATACGTGACGCCCAAGAATATGGCCGACTCTCCCTTCCGGACGTTATCGTCCAGATATGTGAAACCGGCAGTAAAGAAGGCGTTACCGCCGATGCCGTTCAGTAGGTTTGCTGTAAAGAAGATGATAATCACCGGCAAAGTGTTGGACTCGACAGACTGTTTGGCACACGTGCTGTCAATCGCTGAGTGAGTGCCACAGAACTGATACTTGTCTGACGTATTGGACGCCGAGTCGTACAGTAAGTGATGGGAAGCGCCGTAAATGAAAAACGGCAACGAATTCATGTAACACGCGATCACCACTACAAACATACCCAACGCTATGAGCCGAGGCCTATGCACGTGACTGGCGTAGTAGCCGATGATAGGGCTGCATATGATTGGGCTGAAATTGTCGGCGATGAGTATGAGCCCGGTGATTTTGCTGGAAAAGCCGAATCGCTTCTCAATAGTGCTCAACACACCGATGAAATACATGCCGAAAGCGCCCTGAAGTATGCCTAAGATGTTGGACACAACCATATACCAGATGGGAGTCGCGAATCTCTGCATCCAATCCGGTTTCCAACCGCCAAAACCGCATTTCACGTCTTCTTCGTCCTCTTCCTCCACATTATGAGCCGAATCTTCTCTAATATTGGGATCCGTTTCGCGCAGAGGTTTATCCATTAATCACAACTTATAATCCCTTTAAACGCTAACCACTTCTTAATTCTTTATTCTATTATAAATAACTTTACAAATTCACTAATTGTAATATTAAATAAACTGTATTGAAATTTCAGTAGATTGTATAAATGTAAATTTTACAATAAATGAATGGCATTTATAAAATATCTTAAATTAAAGTGATATATTTCATAAGTCACAAAATTACAAATGATTAGTACAGTAGACAAGTAAAGGCAAAATCATAATGTGCTAAACCAATTAGATATTCATAATTTTTATAATTGTTTTATACAATCCTTGAATTTAATTTAACTAACGTATGAGGTTTACTATTTGAATAATATATTAATAGAATTGTTTTGTAAAAAAATACATTTTAATTCACTATGATTGATTTTTATTATATATTTTTGCTAATTTCTATTTTAAAAGATTTTTCCAATAAATTAAATTCAATTTTAAACTGTAATCAGTTGTTAAAATATTTAGCAAATAATACAGTATGGTAAAATTTCAAAGTATTTTACATACCTTTTAATAGAAGGAAAAATTTTTAATTATATAATAAATATCATATCAAACTTAAAGTTAAATTTTGAACAATGTAGTAATAATTTATGTCAATTATGACATTTTATTAAAACAACAAATTCTGAACACAATTAACAAATTATGTAAACATAAGTGAAATAAATGTTTTATAAAGTGTTTTGATTTTTACATTTAAAGTTTTACTAAATAGTTAGCTGACATTGAATGAAGATATTATAAAAATTAAATTCATTATAAACGTTGTGTTAATTTACAAAGTTCAATGAGTATCGATATCTGCCATTATATCTTAAATATTTGTATCCAATATCGATAAAAACAGATATAAATTGGCGAAAAAAATATTGTCAATCATCGCCGATAACACTATTCCCTCTGTTTAACACAAACCCAATAATTAGTTTATTTAAAATAAAAAATTAGTTCAAAAAAATTGTTTTTTAAACATTTGAGGCGAAAGACACGTGAAGTAAGCGTTGAATTAAAAACATATTTATCTATTTTGTGAAAAGAATTTATATTCAACTAAAGCTAACTAAGTTATTACTATTGGGACAGGAATTAAGAAATATTATATTATAGTACTAATTATTAAGATATTAATTGCTTTAAATTACATTCTTTAAAAATATAATATTTATTATCAATAAGGCCTGAATGTACTTAACATGATTTAAATCTTGCTTGGTAGTTTACAATATTTATATGATAAATGCTAGAATTTTCCATTTTATTTTTTAATATCATAGTTATGTTTGTGAAAAGCAAATGAAAATATTAACTTTTAATTAAATAATGTATTACCATGTCGCTATAATGTATTCTATTAAGTAGAATAACACTATATTCTATTAAGAACAAAATAGAAATAAGCTATTAAAAATTTTACTTTGTAAATTTATTAATATGTCTAATATTCTTATACTGTACTTGTAATTAATCAACCATCAATTAATTATTACAAATTTAGTGGTAATGCAATTTATTTCTGTATTAATATATAATTTAATTTTATACAATATACAACTTTTACTAAACCACGAGTTAATGTTTGATGAATGCGATGAAACAATCAGAAAATGCTTATTATTTGTAATGTTTTAATGATTGTTTGTTGTGTTCATCAATAATTTGAGATAATTTATTATTTTTCAGGTAACAAATATAAAACAATGAATGAATCAATAAATAACAATATAATAAATACAATCACTTATAATAACTACTATATTGTTGTCCGCCGAAGAATTAGAGGGCAATCGTAAGGACTGGAAAAATATCACAAACATTGGGTCCGTATGTACTGTACTCTCGTGTAGCCATCGATTTGCCATTTGATTCATTAGCCGATCATTTGTAGGTTTTGTTGACCAAAATAATTGTGTCACCCATTCGTTTGGAGAAACTTCTCAATGCAAACACACGGTTAGAGTAGAGATAGAAATCAAAACATAGAGAGAGAGCGAAAAAAAAGTTTTTTATTTGTTTTATGTATTTAAAAGGTTTTGATTATAGATTGTCACGAAATCTTAGCGCTATATTTACTTAATAACTCCCCCGATGTTTGGTATAACCAAATGCGGCAGACAATTGGCGAGACCTAAATCGCCGCACAGTTGCCGACATTGCAGTTCACTATCACAGCTAATAGAGTACACGTGTCTGTAATTGGTATTCAATGGGACACAAAAAAATTAATGCATCAAATGGTTAGCAAAATCATTCACTCATCATTTGAAGAGTGACTCCTTCCCAATGAGTGCTCACATACTTTGTATTATTACTTCTTGAGACCAACAGTGCCTCCAAGTGTCTCACATCCGACGCAATCGTACTCTTGTTGACCATTTGGCCAATACTTTGTGCGTAAAACGCGAGTCCATCGCCCAATTCAAACGCTTTAATCAATACCTCCTCTTCGCTAATCAACGAAACAAAACAAAAAATAAACGCTTTATTTAGACAAATGATTATAGAATTCATTTGAGAGCATATTCTGGCAAAACATTAATGAATGGGAGGGAAAAGTAATGGTTTGTTATAAACTCAAAGCAAAACTTTTTCTGTTAATTACATATTTATCGATCGCTTCCGTGACATGAAATCGAGGGAAAACTCCTGCACTTCGTTCGGTGCGGAACTCAAGTCCGGGTTTACATACAAAACACGCGAAACGTCGGGTATTATAATGTTATTGTCGTGATTACTGTTGAGGTTGTCTACGAAAGACCAGAGAAAGTTGGGGCTAATGTTAAACGCAAAGCCACGACGAAAAAGGGCGGCGAATCGGGGCTTATAGTGGCCGGCGTTCACACGATAGACAACACTGGAGTCGTTGGACACACTCTCGAATCCATTGTCATTCCAGGCGGATATGGACTCAATGTCCGACCCTTTGGTCAATAGAAAAGGCAATAACTGTCCCATAAATGGCAAGAAATCGGGCGCTAATATGGTATTCATATCAATGAGTATAAATGCTTTGGCGTCCGGAAAGAGCATTTCGGTTGTGCGCCGGACTTCATCCAAATCGTCGCCAAAATCGGACAAATCATTGGACATAAAGTCAAAGACTTCGGCTAAATATGCGATCGACGGACAACTGATGGAGTTATAGAAGACAATGACATTTCTGGGAGTGATTCCCGGCTGACGTATAAGCGTTTCCAACGTAAGCGACAAATAGACGTTTTGTGCGTAAGTTTGTGCCGTCAACACAATGATCGGTGTCCTCACGATTTCGCCACTGATTGGCAAGAATTTGAGAATACGGGCAGCGATTAGCGGATCGTTCACAACATTGCCTGATATTAAATCAATACAATCATTACAAATATATATTTTCCCTTTCAGTCAATACAAACCCTCGCAAAACAACGGGAAGTGTATGTAATATTTGGCACAGAATTCAGCTCTCTTTGGATTGCGGTCTAGGATGGGGTCCGGCTGTACGGACAACCCTTTTACTAAAAGTTTACAATTAATTAAATTGTTTATTTGTAGGAAAAAATAAATGGTATGTCAAATACTTATAACTTACTCTTGAGGGGCACACAGATCCTGATCTCATGCGAGTCAGCCCACCCTCCAGTGTTGGGAAGATTTAACTGTTTATTTGATTTGATGGGTGTTTGAAATAAACATTAATAAACAACCTTAAATAAAATAACATTCAAACAAATCAGATATATGTAAATATATTAACGTTTTCGTATGGAGTGTAGCCATCGATGCCTTTCTGAGTGATTATATACCAACTGCTCCTATAAATGAGATTCTGAGCCCAATTACTGCCCATTTGATGCAAAAGCAATTTTGCCACTTTGGAAAGTCTGCCATCAAATCACACAAATATAATCATTCATTAATTCAAATCCCATTCAAAACAAATGGACACTAACTTAGAGGTCGGCTCATCAAACGATATCATAATCACTATATCGCCAACTCTTAGCGTCAATAGTAGTGTCTCTAACGGTTGGGAATCTGTTGTCAAAAAAACAATTAAATTATAAATAAACTAAATAAGAGATTAAAAGTGATATAAAACAATTGAAACCTTTCTCATATGTGTCAAAATTAGAGACTCGGAGTATAGATCGGGTCATATTGTCAATGATCACCAAATTGATTCCACGGCCGCAACCGTTCAGACCTTTGTCCAGAACACTGATCCATACATACAATGCAAACACACATTAGCCACGAATATAACATCGATTACTTGATATGAATTTAAACGCTCACTAATTGCCGTCAATACAGAGTTTGGGATAAATTTGATTATCTCTTCCGGTGAACAGATGGACAGCGAATTGATTATTCTGACAGACCATCGGTAGACCACAATTGGCCACTTTTTTGCCACTCTTGATGCCATCGCTAATCGAGAAACTCAAGTCCTGTTGAAACGGCAGATCAACCGTTTGGCTGATGTCGAGGAATATCTCGTCGTCATTAGGAGCGGCCACTGTTGGCTCTATTGGGCCCACAATTGTCACATCGATGGTCACAATTGCGTGCAGTAATTGAATACAAAATTGAGCATGTGTGTTTAATCATTAAAAACAGACTATGAATTACCATTGATTTGATGCGTGAACTCCACTTCCCGGACCAGTAAAGTGATGATCCAGACAATGATCACTGCGAGCGCCCATTTGGCCCAATACAGGAACTGTAGGCCCGGTTTGGCCGTCATATACAGCGACCACTTTTTGACCATTTCTTCATCGGTCTAA